GAAAGTATTTAATGGGCATAGAGTTTCAGCTGAGGAAGATGAAAAATTCTGGAGATAGATCGTGGTGATGGTTGCACATTAATGCCACAGAACTGTACATTTAAAAATGGTTAAAATGGTAAAATTTTGTTATATATATTTTACCACAACTAAAAAACAAACAAATAATAAGCCAGACTACTACACACGTTATGAGATTCTGGGTCTTGTTTAAAGCCTATGGAGAAAGTCAATACGTTTTTAGGAGCCACTTGACCTGAGTTCAGGCTGCAAGTTCCAATCATCCTTCTGCTGGTCTTAGTTCCAGTATCAGTTCAGTTTTAAAAGCCCTTGAAGCACTATTTGGATCTGTCCCACGTGTGCACCACCTGGTAGCCAGTCTATGCTGTGTAGGGTCAGATCCATGCACATACACCTCAGGGGTGAGCCCAGAAATTCATCATTCATCATTTCCTAAGGACTTCCCCCTCCATGGTCTGCTTGGAACTTCCCAGCTCTGCCTTTTCATTCCTCTGGCCAGAAAGCTGGTGCTCTGCAGTTTACTTCCTATGACTGCTCACTTCCAGGAGCAAGCGGCGGGAGGACAGGTGGAGACTAAAAAGGGGTTTCCCCACCCTCTCTGGACACAGGCTCCTGCAGTGAGGCAGGCGGCTTCCTTCCTGCAGAGTTTAGGCGCCTGCTGGTTACTGTTGCTGCTGCTGCTACTCTGCCACAGGATTGCTTGGGTTTGAGGTGGGCATTAAAAACAAACAACCAACCAGAAAAAAAGGAAAGAATTGGAAATTTCTCCCACTCTCCCTGAGCATTCACTGTTTTCTTCCCATCTACTTGACCAGAGGGTTTCTCCTAGAGGTCTCTTTGTCCAGCCCTGATGCCCACTCATGGGTTATAGGTTTCAATGAGTTCAGGCCAAGGCATCCTGAAGGGAAAACATGGCAAAGTGAGGCCATTTCAGTGGTACTTTGAATCCTGGTCTTCTTTTTCAATGCTTCTGCTACTATTTGCTTCTCAGGTAGCTGAATCATACATTCTATTCAGGTATGATAGACGGCTTCTTTGCCTACTCTTAAGGCTGGCTCTGACTTTGGCATTTAATGCAAGGCTACATGCACCCACCCCCATTCCCCATTCATTCATCCATTTATTCTATTAATGTGCACTGATCACCTACTATGTGCCACAAACTGTGAGGGCTGGAGAAACAACCTATATTTCAGGTGCTTAGAACACAATTCCCATGTGGGGTACAGCTCCCTGGATTTCACCCTGGCTTTCCCTCCTCTCTGCTTATGTTCACAGTAGATCTGTGAAAAGCGAGTGGGCTTTTTTGCTCTCTTCAAAAGGCAGGTCTACATGTGAGCCGAAACCATTCTCACATGTGAGCTCTGTGGGTGCGGCTGAAGGCTTTGGAAAGAGTCATATTTTCAAACACACAGGTTTGTGGTTTTTGAAAGAACGGAAAGCAAAAAGCATAACGTCTTGCAGGATCACTTCCTGCCGAAGGCCAATTGATGCGACATCTGAAAATAATCAAATAAGTGTCTTGTTTTCAGCCTGCAAATGACTTTGTGGAACTTTGAAAGGAAATTCTCCACTTAAGAAAAAATAAGAAAAATTGAAATTGAGATCATGAGGAAGAACAAAGATGTGGAATTATGAGAGTGCTTCGAATTGTTAATAGCACTTATATCTGTAAAAATGAATCTCTCTAAAAACCTGCAAGTGGCCTAATAATTTTAAATCACCTCACACAGCACATGCCCAAAACTCTGATAACCTCTAAATTCAATTGCCTATGACCATTTTTTGGAGTATTCCAAAAACTTGAATTTGCTACACAATGAACAGAACTCTGGATTTTAAATTATTGAAGGCTTTGATACTTTTTTCCCCTATAAGCTCTTACATTTGGAAAGAAGTCAAGGTAAAGTCTAACCTCAGCAAATCAAAATATATCGAACTGATTTTTTAAATGTTATCAGCCGGGAAAACAGAAGTCGAACTCAACACTATGATGAAGAGAGGAAAGAAGGGCAAAGAAAAGGATGAAGGTGGCGTAAGAATCTCAAAGTCAAAGCAGAGCCTGCACCCGAAGATGAAAAACTCTGCTGGCCGAGGTAAGACAAATTAAGGCATGTTGGTGAGGCTAATCTGAGGCAAATGAAATTAAATGTCATCAAAAACCCAGGCTTAGATAAGGAGAGACTAAAGAGAAACTTCTCTCCAGCTTCAGTGGTTAAGGGGTGACTTAGAGTTCCGACAGCATTTCATTAATATACAAGTCGAGTGTTACTAATATCTCGTGTGGATGACAGACAGTTGTACTTTGTGAATTTCTGGTTTCTAATGATGCATTTGAGCTTTACTTTTTACAGCTGTCCTTGTAATAATCCTTTACTTTTTTTCTCCCTGGGGTTTAATGGTTTCTAGTTACATATCAGCATTTTAAGCAGCATGTTGCCTGTCAGGCAGCACATGGCTTCTGGTGGTTATGGCAGTTGGGTCACCACTAGTTCTCTGGAAGGACAAGTGCTCCTGCAAAGAGCACAGCAAACTCCCTGTGCTCACACGATTGGAACGTGGCAGTGCAGGATCAGGGCGCACGCTAGAAATCTAACCAAATGCCTTTTGCAAACAGCAGCTCAATGAGGATTCCTGCCATGAGGCAAAACGCTTGGAAAGTTACTCTGCGCTGGCATCACTGGGTTTGGGGTCAGCATGCTGAAATCGGGACTCATTATGATCCTACCATGCCAACTTGGTGCAATTAGCCTAACACGATAATTTCCCGAAGCCATATGTCGATCTTTAGGGGAGGGAAGGCTTCCGATGCCTGATGGCTCTGAGCTCTGACTGGCATGTCCCAGCTTCGAGCAAATTTCTGTAAATCAAGATAACACGCACAGCAATCAAAGATGAGTTACGACAGCCAGACTGGATGGAAGCAGGAGCCTTAGAGCAGGGCCGTATACTTGTTGACTGTTGTAGCCAGTTGGTTTTCTCTTTTATCTATCTATCTATCTATCTATCTATCTATCTATCTATCTATCTATCTATCTATATTTATTTATATTTATTTATTTACTTACTTACTTATTTTTTTGCCAAAAAGTTTTCAGAGAAAGGTCAAGGGAGCACCAGTGTGTGCAAGGCTGTCCCTCCCCCTGCCTCCAAAATAAAATCAATGGAAGGACCTAGAACACAATAAGTTATGTTCCAGGGCTGCGTGGCCTCTATTCCCATTGGAGACCTATCAATGTGAACTAGCACTGTTGGGAAATCTCTTCAGCTAGCTCTGTTAATCAATACCTCTGTTCATTATACCTCTCTGATGAATATGGGTAATGATTGGGTACCCAAGAGTCAGGTGACTAAAAATAACTGCACCTTACTGAGGATCGATAGATTCCCCCCCAGTGTTACTCCAGGCAATTCAATATTCTCAGCTGCTTCTCCCGAGCATTGGCCAATGGGATCCTCTCTGGTCTTCACTGATAGATCGGCTTCGTCCTCAGAGCAGCTTTATTAAATTAGTAGCACTTAATCTACTGTCATACTGTCAACTGACACGGTGCGAATTAGCACTCGGCAAGTCTTCCAGTCACTCAGGAGAGCCACTGGCCACAACCTAGGCAGCTTTGATTAGCTTTGTGCCAGGAGCTGTCTTCATGGGTGCCTCTTTGCTGAACAGGAGGATTCCCACCATTGAATAACATTTGAAATAATCTTTTTAAGAAGAAGGAACTGTTTGAGGGAGAATTGTTGCCGATTACAGACCTGTTATGACAGATGAAAAGATCATAATTATGCGTGGGTTCCCTCCAGGAGTGTGTTAACACATCCGTGACACTTCATCACCACATCCCTCAACAGAAGTAGACTTCTTCAAAGTTGCTTAACCATTTATTTTTTCCCCCTCACCCCAAAACCTGTCTATGGGTGCTCAAAGGAAACCAAGGCAACCCCGTCAAGGTTGGCACCCCTCTTGCCTTGGGAGAGGTCCTCAGTCAGTGGCATCTGAAGGTGGCTGGACCGCTTTGTGCTGTGGGCCAGGTGACAGCAGAACAGGTACAAGCAGTCTGCCCGGCTCCCTGCCGGCCAGAGGCCCAGGCCCAGGGAGCTGCTGTAGAGTCTGGGTGCTCATTTCCCTAGTGACCAGCCAGGGGGAATCGGAGAAGTAGTGAGACAAACCAGGGAGACGGACCAATCTGGCTTTAGGGATGAATTGAAAATACTAAATTAGAAGAGAGACTCCTTGCAGTCTGAGTTAGCCTGATTTCCAGCTAGGATTGGTTTAAGAGGCTGGGGTAATATTAAACATTGCCGAGTCCAAAGCACCTTCTTTATACTTTCCCCCACTGTTGCTCAAGCAGTATGACAGGAGGAGGAGACGCTGCCGATTATGACAACTTTCCACCTGCTAGTTTTATTTCTAGAATATAAAAAGCACAATCTGCAGAAAACCACGGCCAAGAGAATATAAACCGAAACACAGCATTTAGTCTGAAAAAAACATATATAGTCATCATCCTGTTGGCTGCTGTCCACAAATTTCCCAGAGTTGGGGAGGAAAGAAAATCTATTTACAGAAAGCTGAGGTGCAAAGATTCCTAAGTTCTTCTTTTGGTCTTCCTTGCCTTAAAGGAGCAAAAGCTTTGGGAGACAGGAACTCCAGAGAGACACAGAAAAGAAATCCTCACAGGGGTAGCTTTGGTGAGGGGAGACTCAGGTCAGTGTTTGCCAGGCTCCATCGGGACTCGCTGGGATCTCTGTAGCTCTGACTCAGCTTTGTCATCTGAGCCAAAGACAAGTTTGATCTTCCTAAGAAGTGTATTAAATAAACCAGGATTCAGTCCAAATAGGGGATCGACTCTGAGTTATTCAGCAAGTATACTTAAATAGGGTGCATTATGATGGGAGCTGACATGTCACTGGGTGTATTTTGGAAAGGTCTGTTGGAGTTTGTCGAGGTTTCTTCAAATCAAAAAGATAAGAAGAGATCAGTGACTGATAAATCTTTAATATAAAAATTGTACAAGAATTTTGATACAAATTACAAGAGGTATTTGGACAAAATATGAATAAAATTCCATTTACATCCCCAAACCCTTATGCATTTTATGCAAAAGACATACTGTAGGACAGTTTATAGTACAGAAATACAACAAAGGAAATAGCAAATAAAATTTTAATTCCCTTAGACTACTAATAAAAACAAACGAAAAGCAAAACAAAACAAAAACAAAAAACCTTGTTCAAGGTACACACAGTATTTATGAAGCTACCAACATCACGATAATGAGATCAGGGTAATGCAAGCTGTCCCCATCCCTCGGTGCAGCTACCTTTTGTAGTACAGACTTTGGTTCTGCACAGGCTTAGCAGAAGAGACTGGTTTGATGCAGATGAGAACACCACAAACACAAAAGCAGAAACCCCCAGACTCTGGGGGAGGGAGAGGACATATCTTGGTGAAAATTCCTTTTCCTCAAGATATTTTGATTCCCTTTGGCCACTTTTGTGGTCAAATATGCAGGTTGCATGAAGCTTTTGTTATTGAGACACACTAGTGGGTTTGGGGTGGAGAAGAAAGGTGTGTTCTCCCAGCTACGTGAGGGACCTTGCAGTTCTAAGAAGGACTTGTCCATGAGCAGCAGTAGAGAACAGAGTGCTTTTTTCCCCAAAGCCCCAGCTTACGTCTATCTTTGAGGAAAGGCCCAGGTGGCCTCAGACCAAAGTCCACTCCTGGTTTCTCCACCTTCCTTCCCCTCTGACCTCCACGTACCCACATTTCTCTCTCCTGCACTTTTCATACTGGCACTGGTAGGAAAATGGTAAGATTTCTCCGCAGGGCAGCTGAACCAAAGTTTGCACAGGAAAGCAAGTGCACCATATATTATAAATCTGTGATAGTCATATCAGGTTAATATATAATACTAGAACATCTCATTCACTTAATTCACGTTATGTAAACCCTGGACAGGGTAGAACACACAAATGTTTCCAAAACGATCAAAATCAGGATGAAGGAGTGTTCTACCTTCTTGCTTCAGAAAAGATGTTTTTAAGGGGGTGGGTGAAATCACAAGAAGAGCAAAGGGTGGGAGTGAAAAGATGATGAAGTCAGGGAAGAATAAGATAGGCAATGAGAGGAATGAATTACTCTGTACAGAGACATGCAAAAATGCTCCAAATTGACTACTAGATGAAAAAAAAAAATCAACCTTGGTTTATACATCTTAAGTGAACCTATTAACTCAGCACATTGTCTGGAAGTTCAAGAGCATCATACCTCATGGATCAATGCTTCTTGCGGCTACAGTACTGGTTCGCGGGTGGGCGGGAGATGCTTTGTCTCCTAGCATGGAAAAGGCAGGCAGCGAGGCTCCCACAGAAACAGTGCTGGGTCAGTTCACCTTGCAGGGGGACTACCAAGAGGCCTGGGGTTTCCTCCCTCTCTTTTGGAAAACATTTCTAGGACCAGATGCGTGGAACTCTCTCATCCCTCCAGGGTCTCCCCAGGGGCACCTCTCAATCCTTGCATTCCATAAGAGAAGTGGGCAGAGCCGGTTAATAATGGATTGATTTGCCATCTTAGTTGTGCATTATTTCAACAGCGCATTTGGCAACAGGAAGCCTTATAAAGTCTTGGTATAGCACTTAGATACTCTCTCTTCAAGAAATATATTTTTATACTATCTACTTCTCTCCGTTTTTGTTAAAATACCCTTTTCTGCTCTTCCTTGTCTTCAAAGATTCTTTAAAAAAAAAATGAAGCTAAAAAAAGCATTAAAAAAATTCAAAAAGTCCTTAAGCACCCCTGTTATTCACAGGGGAAAATGCTAATATAAGTTAGCAGGATCTGTGCAATTTTGGCAACTGAGCTTTTAATTAAAGATTCTAATAGGATGTTTGAGAAATGATTTTAATATATACAAACTGGAGGAACGTAAAAAACATCAAGTCAACTGCTTTTCCTCTGACCCCAAGAATCCTTGCTCAAAGTGCTTTTCTTCCCAGTGCTCAGACTGGTTAGTGAAATTATTTAGCACAGGTTTGTCAGATTAGACCCGTTAAGTTGTCTATCTTCAAACTGCTGCTTTTCCCTCTTCCCACACGTTCACACCAAAGATGACACCTGCGTGTGTCTTATTTGGTTGACAAATATATTTGAAATGTGACTGCTGTAGCAGGGGTCAACAGCTTCTGTCACACCTGCTGCCAGAGAGTTGGAAGGAAGCACAGTCCCCAAGTTCCATATGGAAGATTCACAAAGATCTTGTCCTTCCCTTATCACTAACTAGCCACTTTCAACCATCATTTAAGTAGTTCAATATACAAAAATAGTAGCCAATACCTCCAGGTTATTTGGGCTCAAGGTATTTTGGAATATAACATTTTCACCTGTTCTTCCTTGGTACCTTTTGGCCCCTTGATTTTGTAAAGCTCGCTGTACTTGTACTCACAAAAATTCTCCCAAAGTGGGGAATTTTATGTATAGTGTAGTCCCTGTTTTAGTGATTAAAGTCAAAATCCCTGTGCCTTTTTTTTTTTCAGATTGTCAGTCCAGTTTAACAAAATGAAAGTTACTCTGTCATTTTACACTATGTATTTGAAGGTTGTCATTGAGAGATACACATATACATTTAGACCAATGGTTGAATGCCAAAGCAAAAACAAAACAAAACATACCATTTTTATGCACTAATTTATCTTCAACGTGTAAACTTTTTGAAGGGGAGGAAAAATATTTTAATGCTTTCCTTACAGAATATGGGGCAATCTAATCCTGCTTATGCCATTGACTTGTGGGGAAATTCGCAGTAATTATAGGGCCACACCCAGTACTTCCAAAATGGATGGGCATGCAATTGCAATACTTAAGTTCCAAAGACACAAAGAATTCTGTCACAGCCAGCATCTCCCTACTGACCCTTTAAGAAGTCATCTTGTTACTGTCCACTTAATAGCTGGAGAGGACATCTAGAGGCAGCCCTGGGCTTACCAAAGATGCAGTTTAGTAGGTGTGTGTATAAGCTTGTGTAGCGAGGGGTGGCGGGGTGGGGCGGGGGTGGGGGATGGAGAGGGAGGGGGAAGGAGGAGGAAGGGAGAGAGAGAGGCTGATTGTGAATGTGTGTACATCAGGGAACTCGGTGGGAAAGCCTAGCCCTTGTACTCAATTTCCCCTTCACAAGGGATAAACAGGCAATTACGCATCCTTTTATATTTGATGGCCAAGTGCTGAACTGGAAAGCACACTATTAGTTTGTGTCCCTTCAGGGCCAGGGCAATAAGTAGCCAGGAGAGCTGGGGCTGAAGCAAAGAGGGTGTTGTCTGCTGTTAGTGTGACAGTCTTGTCAGCAGCATTCACATTACTGGAAGGGAATAAAGTGACAAGTAAGTTATTAGAAAGATATGAGGTGAAATTGAACTGAAGCTTCTCGCTGCTCGGCCCAGGCTTTTCCTTTCCTCCTTTGTAATGGTTCACTATTTGTTACAAACTGAACCTTGTCTTGATACTCCATATAAAAAAATTTTTTTTTTGCAGTAAAGGTCAAATAAATTTACAACACTTTAGAATAGTTCTATGACAACTATAGCACGTTGCTTCAAAAATATATATAGCATTATAATGAACAATAATGCTGATCCAATTCAGTGTATTTGTGAAAATGCTTCGTTTTTTTGTATCCCCGTTATTAGGCATTTGGATTTTTCAGCAAATGCCAAAAAGACAGTGTTGGTGTCCAGCTATTGCTGAATGACCATAAACATCATTTCGTGCAAGATGTGAGAAGAATGGGGATGATAGAAGGACACAAGGATGGATGCGGATCTGGGCAAGAGTGAGGATGAACTAACTCACTGGTCAGTTTTACAGTTGGATTTACATAATAGTAATTGAATTCTCCAACTATTGGAAATATGGAAATGAGTCTGGGACAGATAAGATGTGGCCGTAATACTAACATGAGCAAGGCTACCACACGTGGTTTAGTTTTGAGGGAAAATATGACAATGGAGAAGTTACTTTGATGCTTCATAGGAAGGTAAATGAGCTTACATTTTGATCAAGAGAACTGTACCAAGAAGCATTACACTCATGGCTATCGGGGCAAGCAAACGTAATGATGGAAACAGAACAGACCCATCCTGGCTACCACTCGCCATGATTACTCAGTTTGACCACTGTCCTTCGCAATAACCTAGGTGACCCATCGTATCTTTTGCTTCCCTAAGGGACTCTGGCATCCCTTCCCAGTCCAAAAGAAGAAAAAGAAAAAAAAATTGTACAACTACCTCCTTCTTGGCTCTCCTGACCCTATGGAACTTGAGCTGTTCTAAGTAGCTGTCCTTGCCTTCTTCCCCCTTCCTCAGACTGGGGTTCGGTGGCGCACCTGGTCATGGGGAGAACCGCAGGGCACCATGTCCACGTGCTCTCATCCACTGCTAAGCAGAATTGTACCAGACTTTTTCTTGAACAAACACTTCCAGTGCATTAACCGTTTTTTTCTAGCTACCCTCAAACGGGGCAGGTACCAATCCTCTACCTAGTATCCCTTACTCATCTCTCTGGCTTTTGCAAAAGCTGATTCCCTCCCGTCTTTTTGGTGCCCGCCTTTTATTGCTGTCCTTGCTCATTGAGACCCGCTTCCCATTAAAAAATAAAGAATGAGAGGGAAAACAAAATCCTTTAAAGTAAATATTCCAAATTTGGGGGCTTTAAAAAAAATAAGGGTCGTCATAATTTTTAGAAAGTTGTTAGCAAAGGGATGTGTTGATAGGAAGAATGAAGTTTCTTCTGGATGGTGTTTAATAGCAATGTAGCGTGTTCTATTACAGTTGAATTTTATTTACTGTTAGTCAAACTAACGCAACACCAACAGACCAAGTACAAATCGGGACTGCTCAGGTCAACCGTTAGCAGTTAGCAGCATGTCCGTCTCCACCTGGTTACCGACTTCTTTATGTTCGAATTGCCAAGGGCCCCCACTCTCATTTGCTCGGCCCACATCTGGGGTGTGTGCGGAGGACGAGGAACAAAAGGTCACATTTATTTTATTTGGTGGGAACCTAATGCATGGTTTCTCCTGAGTAAAATGAGGAGAATGCCTCTGGAACAGCCCATTCTTGATATAATCAAAGCTTTTTAAAAAGAGCAATGAATACACTAATTGGGCTGTTAACCAGTTAAGTGCCTTTCTCCTTACTGGAAGGGCCTGGAAATTCAAGACCAAAGGAATCTCACTACAAAAACAGTGGCACCATTGTGCTAAAAAACGTTTTCAAAAAAATATGTTTATCATGTTGAGAAGGAAAATATTTACACCTCTAAACCTTTAAAAGGCATCAGGGTGAACTAGGCAGCCGGATTAAGATTTGAAATGCATTACACTGGAATAAATTATTTCAATACAATTAATAGCAGAACAAAGTGTCAAGCTTTTTATCACATTTCTAAAACCGAGTTACTTATTACCTATCCTTTTTCCTGCTCTTCGCTGTTCTCCTCCACAGCATGCAGATATTCCCTAAAGCAGACTAAACCTTTATGATATTTTAAAGAAAACATAGTTTAAAATGATCGAAACAGTAACTTTCAACAACAGCGAGTGAACATGCACGTTAATAATACTGCCTAATTTTGTACCTGTGTCAAAACTCTGGTTAAATTCAATCAAATGGGGAAAAGCCGCCTAGGTGAAAACCAGCATCCTTATTAATGTTCAGCCAGCGTAGAATGGATGCAGCTAAAGAGAAACTGTTTCACAATAGGAATCTCCTGTGAAAAAATAAATGAGTAGGAATGGGTAAAGATGAAGGGCTCAATGATTAAAATGCTGATCTCTTTATTCTTCTTGTTTGCAAATAAGCTGTGGGATCACTATCACTATCTAAGTTTGTAGTTAAGTCAAAATACCATTCAGGCGCGCACCCAAGACCAACCAACAATTTGGGACTAAAAGCATTGTACATTTTGCGATTTTACCTGTTATGTACCACTTCTAGCCACTCCCCCTGCCCCTTTTAAGCAAATAGGCTTTTTATTGGAAAATGTTATTCACCCATTTAAAGGCCACCATTACATTTGGGCATTTGAGGCACAAGAGTAGTAGCAAAGAGGGGAGATACTTAAAAAGGGCAGGTTGTCCAGAATTCATGCCCATTTCTCTGACAAAATGCAGGTGAACACATTCATGTTTCTAGGCAAGGAAATTCTGCTTTGAGAATCCTGCTGCTTCCGAACTTGTTCTAACCAGCTAGCCACATTAGCCTGGTTTGTGGCAAGTAGCAAACATCAGTTCAATTCCTGGTTCATTTGCTGATGTGACCTGCTGACAGCTATGACTTCAGTCACTAGGGCTATGTAACCTTTTAGTTGACAATAAATAGACGAAACTTTGATTCTGTAAGAGAGGAGTTCAAATATCTCAACCAAGAGTGTAACTTCTAAAAAAAATCACTGAAATAAAAATATTATTTTCATAAAACTGGGTGTAATTCTGTCTATGCACATCCCAAAAGCTAGTGTATCCATCTTTTGTTGGGATGCTAAAAATATTTTTTCCACCCTTTTTGAGTTGAATTATTTGGTAATGGGGCAACAGCACAACACAGAGAACGCTAAGAGGACCAAAATGTTTGCAAACAAACTTTCATTATTCTAGTTCAATCTTTTACAAACAAACTGTACAGAGTCTTATATGGTATAAAACAAAGGAAAACATCTCTGTCTATTCAATTTAACACAACACCAAAATAAAGCAATTAAGACTTTGGGGAATTCAAAGATACAAGAAAACAAAAATGGTTATTACTAATTCCTCAGCTTTTTACCGTAAACATTTGTCATTTAAGAGACATAGTGTTTAATAAGGTTTCTTTTGTACTGAAAGTACTTTTGGTCTTTCCTCACCGTAGAACAAATGAAGAATTAAATGAACCCCATAGCATCCTCTGAAGGAGATGAAAAGATAAAGCTCCTAGACACATCTAGCTTATCTTTAACAATCCATTGTTTCTGAAATTTTCACAAATAAAAATACTGAATCCTCAACTAGTGATGCTTACTTTTGGAAACAATAAATACTGTGAGGTACAATAAATCTTATAGGAATAATAATAACAGAAACATATTAACAGTTTCCTTTGGCAAATTTAACGGAAGTGAATGCTGATGTGAACACAGAAAAAATAATTACAAAACATGAAGAATGGAAATGACATGAAGAGTTAAAACAAAAGGGGTATTTCTAACTTTAGACTGATGAGAAATGTCTGAGGCCATTAAATGCAGAAAAGAAATACATTCTCTTGAAATTATTGTGTACTATTTGACAAAATATTCTTTGTTTATACCTCCCCCCCTCACTTAAAAAAAAAAAAAAAAGACAACAAAACAAAACACAGTCTGCAATGCATACCCTCATGGTTTTGGCTGCAGACTGAACTTGAGTAAATATCATCATTTCGTCAGTATGTTGTGGTAGCTGAGGCTGCCGATGTGGTTAACCAGCTCAGGCAACATGTGTAAACATCGGAAACAAAACAAAACAAAACAAAACAAAAAGGTTTGGAGAATCATCTCTCCCCTCTTTCTCACTCTCAATTGCTTGGTTTTAGGCTTGCTTTCATTTCTCTCTGACAAATCGTGTGGGGAAACACAAAACACTAAACAGTGAGAAATCCTGTTTTAAAACTCCCCTTCTCTGGCTTTTCAGAAAGGAGTGTTGCTCAATTCAAGTTCAGCACATGTTTTCAAAGCTTCCAAATAAAATGTCTTTTGATCTTGTCTATCAAACAGGCCTGAATCATAGACTACTGAAAAACTTGCAACAGATTAGGCAGTCATACAACAGACTAGCCCAGTTCAGACTTTTTTTTCTTTTTAAAGGATGAGGGTAAGGTCCTTGGAAATGAGTGTTCAACTCTTTTACTGTATTCAGCTTTGTTCCATAGTGAGTAATTTGGACTTTTGTATCCTGAAATATTATCCTGCCTCTAAAGAATAAATGCCTTGGCTGTTTCACACCACATAATTTTGTTTTCCTTTTATGTAACTTAACATATAAGCAAGAAGGATGCAGTGTTGATTCTAATAACATTCGGCACTTGAAAGAATCACCAAGTGTTTTTTTTAAAGCGGTTTTCTGGTGGCCGACAAATTGGCCTGTGGTTATGTTGAGTGACTAATTGTATTTTCTTTTCTGGAAACTTGTGCAAAGTTGGCAGTTTTGTGTTAACACTAATACTTTTGTTTGGCATTTGTGCCCTATACTGACCAGACCATTTTTATACAAGTGAATTTTTTTAAAAAAGACACTTACTTGAAGTATGGCAATAGTTTAAGGATAAAAAAGCATGGATATTACACATCCCCTTGTAGTGTATGAAAAAAAGTGCATGACTGGATTTATGTACTAGTACAGGACATTTTAAAAAATCAGATCTGTGCTGTAAAGCATGCCAGCACCTCTTTATCTCTATATCTAGCAGGTAGTAAAAACAAGACCATGTTGGTTTAAAAAAAAAAATGTGCATTAATGCTAACATAAATGAATAGAGCTAGCCAGCAAACTATTTTTTTTTCCTGCGTATCTAACAGCTGGATGTAACTGTAAAAATTAAACAAAAGAGTTAAACAACATCAATACAATTGTTTTACATCATTGGCCTCTCAAGGCTAAATATTTACAAGTGAATCTGCCATGCTTTAGTTGAAGATTCTCTCAAAACCTTAAAAGTTCACAAAAGACAACTATTAAGAAGTTCCTTTTTTCTTTTTTTTTTCCCTTTTATTTTTTTGCAGGCAACAGTCATGGGTACAACAAACTGTCTCTTTGGAGAGGACCAAGAATTATTATTCTGTCAAAATTTGGGCTACTTGCACGCTTTATGTGTGTGTATATGTGTGTTTAAAGGGTACTTTGTTTTCACCCCAAATGAAATATCCCACCCCTTTTCCAAAATTATAAAGGAAATTTCAAAAGCACCTAGTGTTTATCTTTTTATATCTAAAGAAAAGATGTATGTGTGTGTGTGTGTGTGTGTGTGTATACACAGAGGCATACATGTGTATACACACATGCACACACACACAAAGTACACACTGTCTATGGCAGTTCAAATATGTAGGCCATCTGGTGAGAGCTGGCATTTGTAGTGTCCATTCTGAGGCTAATCTACTGAAGTGAAGGGAATGTTTTTGTGGAGATTAGGGTTCTGACTGTGCCGATTTCGGCTTCGCACAGAGGAAAACATCATATTGCAACCGGGGACTTTGCACTTGTGCATTTCTCGCAAATGCACAGTTTTGTAGTGCACTCTCAGGGTCCCCTTGTTGCTGTACATTTTGTGGCAAATGTTGCACATAATCCCACCATTGCTTCCGGACAAGCTGCTGAACATCAGAGATCCCGAAACTTCAGCCCCTAGGCTGCCGGGGAGGGCAGGGGCCTCAGCCTTGTGTGCCGACTCCCCACTGTCACTCGCCCCGTCAATGTCGTCAAGAAGAATCCCTTCGTCACTGCCTGCGTCGGATTCTCTGGAGGAATGGATGCTGCTGCTGGACTGGAGGCTGGAGGTGGTGCTCAGGTCAAGGACCATGTAGTCCTCTGCCATGCCTCTCCCATACCCATTCAGGTGGGAGTCTTCCGTCCCTGCGGGAGAGGAGGCGTCTTCCCGGAGGTCGAGCCCCAAGGGGTGCTGGGCTCCGTAGATCTTCATCAAAAATTCATCCCGGAGGTCCTTGCTAAGGGAGGGCTGTGATGAGTCCAGGCCCATGTCATCGAGTTCTTTGGTCAACAGTTTACGATGCAGATTTATGTTGGCACTGTGTCTAGGAAAACAAGAGGGAAGGGGGGAGGGCAGGTGTAGAGGGAGTAGGGAGGGGTGAGAAAAAGGAGAGCATTTTAAAATGGATTCAGCTTTCAGGAGGCATCAAATAAGCACATTCATTGCTAATTGCACCATTATAAAAGCAAACATTTCTCTACATCTTCAGGATTTGGGAGTAAGTGGTGGTAGGAAGTGCAATAAGGGGAGCTTTTCATTAACATAATTTTTATAAGAGACTAAAATTCTTCAATGGTAAGATGAATGCAAACTCATGTACCTTTTTCTCAATGATTGTTATGTTAGCTTACTATGTAGCAGCACCCGCTGCAGAGAATCTCATAGCAGAGATTTTAGAATATATATTAAGTAGGATAAAAGAAGGGGAACTTTCTGCTTGTCTAAACTGAATAATTTCAATTTACCTAAAAACAAACAGAACTTTTTTCTACAGCAAACACTATTTAGATGTAAAAAAAGGATTTCTTTTTAAGTAAACAGTCCAGATAATAAATGTTTAATTTCAAAAATAATGAAATCTTGCCTGTCATATTCCTAACTTCAAGTTTTAAGTAGAAAAAAATTAGCTTAATAAATTCGCAATTTGGAATAGGGTTATAGACTCTTTAAGATAAATCCCTTTTCTCGGAATGATCTGGAATCTCAGCTAAATCTAATAGTAAAATCTATTTATTTTCAGAAGTTGCCGCATTTTAGAGTTGAAAATGTTTTCATCAAGCAATTTAACTTTTCAAATTTAATTCTTTAAAACAAAAGCTGAAAAACAGATACTGTTTTTTTTTTTTTAAATAAAACCCACCAACCCTTAAAAAAAATAAAATCACACTAAACAACAGAGAAAACCCAAAGGGACAAAAGGAAAAAAAAAAAACCCCACACAATAAATACAAAAAAAATCAAGCACAATAATAACATACGGTCCCTGTATTTTAACAACTGGAACCCGTACTTCTTAGACAAGCAAAACTTTTACTCTACTCACTGAGTGCTTTGCTTGTGTAAAAAAAGACAGGATTTGTCCCAGAGCATCCACAGGGATGTCATGCTTTACAAAACCTGATATGTTGTTATCTATCTGAAAACATTGCCTTAGTATTTACATCCCCCATTTATTTTTAAAGTGCCCTTGGGCATATACCTCTCTCCACCTGCAAAGGCTCACATGTTTGACAAGTACCTAAATTGAAGGCTACCCTTCCAAAAAATAAACCAGTAAATAAATTACAGATACATAAAGCTTCTCAATAATGGCAGAAGCTCTACATCTTGGAGAAATCACTGTGATAATAGAAATAACCTAGAATGGCCAGTATAAAGTTCAACAAACCTCCCGATTATAAATAAAAAATACGAAGACCAAAATGAGTCACTCTATTTGGTGACAAGCATGGCTAATATTTTTTAGAGGTGGTTGAGAGGTATGTGCCTCAGAGACAAGAAAGGTGAGAAAGACTTCCACCTTTCCACACAAGACAATATATATAGCACTCTAGGTTTTATGGGGAAGAGGGGAATAGCCCTCTCCACACTGCACTTAGGAAGGCTGAGCTTACCTTGTGATAATAAGATCAGCTTTCTAATCTTTTGCTAAATCGATCACAAAAGAAAGCAAGAATGAGAGACAGAGAGAGAAAAAGAGAGAAAGAGAGAGAGAGAGAGAAAACAAATTCACATTCTAGACATCTGGTTTAAAAAAACTTAAACAATAAAATAGGGATTTAAATTGTTCTGATCACAAAATCATTTTCTGTCATAAGCGATCATCTCAGATGCTGTCTTGATGATTTTCAGATCGGCTGCATAATCCCAAAATCATTAATCAAATTAAGATAAACCAAATTCGCAGCATCAGCATCATCCATAAATGAGTTCTACACAGATGCATGCAGTGTACAGACATGTGAATGATAAACAGAAGTTGTCCCCACGGTCCCTGGTCTGACAAAGTCGCTCCCCATTTCTGTGGTGTCAGATGGCATATAACTCTAAGTGCAGGTTGCTAAGCAGAGTGCAGGAAATGCCTCCTGCGAAATCTTTACCCTGACACGTGGGTATGACACCACCCAAGTTATTAAAAAAGAATGTGGAAATACAGTTACACTGTACTATTATTCTGTTGAAAAAACAATCTGCCAACCATAAGCAGTTCACGAAATCCCACCCCTCTGTTTATTATTTTTGACACCCCCCTGCTTTCTTAATTCTACAAACACATTTTATGATGACTGTAATCTAGAACTCTGTGTTGCTTCTCACACATCTGCAGTTACCACTTCCTAGATTCGCTGCTGAGAAAACAGCAGCCAGATACACAGCAGTCATATCAAGACACACTGAATATGGAAGAATAAATTAACATTGACAAAAGGACACACTGATCGCCCAGATGGACACATCTTTCCTAAAATGACTTGTGAATCACACATCTTCACCGATATGTTACCAGGAAGAGATGTTTCTCTTCATTTCTCACTTACAGCAATAGAAATCTGTAATCTAATTAGATGATGTACCAGCCCTCAATATCTGTCAACCAAACGATGTGCAGAAATGTGTAGACCAGCTCTGGCACTCTGTTCAACAGTGTCCCTTTTCCGCTGTCAGCAGTACTGTTGGCCTCTGCTAATATAATTACATTGACTTTTATTCAATTAAGTGCCATCCTTTGCTTAAAAAAAAAAAGGTACTTTATCAATTGATTCAGGTGTAATGCAATAATAAAGATGAACTCATGGCAGTGCATTAGCTCTGCTGTTCATAACTTCAGTACACAGGTTCATTCATGGTAGTCGATTTCCATTATGCAACCACAGTTCAAGAGAATTGATTCTTTTATGTTCATTTCTTAATCTATTTCATTTTTGTTTAATAATCCTCCTAAATACCATATGCAAAACACTTGAAGTGGGGATGGGAAGGATGGGCTGTGTAAAGCCTGGGGGTTTATGATAGTGGGCTTTGAGATTTTCTAACAAACACAGTATTCCTGGAGTAGTAAGAGGAAAAACAAGAGAAGGAGTTAAAGAAGAAAGGCTTAAAGTCTTTAGAGAGTACTGATACTGTCTTTCAAGAGGTTAGGTCCAGCCTCCATAGAATGGACAAAAGGCAGCACTTGATTTTAACAGAGACCTGTTGTCGGACTCTGGAATCAGTCCATCTAAATCATTAACTGTCATAAAACACTGTCCTCATGAGGAGATGCAAAGACCTAGGGTGAACAGCAATTTACAAGTTTACTTGGATCAGAAAGCTAAGGATATAAAAGAAAGGGAGGATGAAAGAGATTCAGAAACAACTCATCCCTACTAACTATCAGACATACAGAGTCGAGGACCCTAAAATGGGAAGAAGACAAGAGAATGCTGGAAAAGGAGAAGGATCCCTTACTAGAAACAGCGATATACAGTTGTATTTAATAAGTAGAAGAAGGAATCCATGAAAAAAACTAATTTTGGGTTCCCTAGAGAGAGAGAGATGGTTTTTCTAGGAAATAAACTAAGTGTTTTGAATATTTACCTCCAGAAAAGAGGGAAACATAATCATTAACACAAATCTATACTGTATTAGAATTAATATTTTACAAGAATATAAATAGTATGTGAAAGCTGTTTCTACTTGCTTTGATTTCGTAGGCAATAGCAGTATGCAGAAGTAGATTCCTCTCACACAAAAAAAAAGTGACTGGGATAGAGAGAGAAAATGACTTTATAAGAAGAAAGGGTAAGGATCTGGTTTTAATAGGGATCTGGCGTTACTGAGCACAGTAGTACTTATTAAGAAGAGTGGTCCAAAATTTAGCCCCAAGAAGGTCACTTTCAAGAACACAAACTAAATCTGATTCAACCTCAAGTCTCCTGCAGTAAAGTGGAATGCTTTGGACATAAGAGATACTTAAAAGTACACTTATTTGCTTTCAATCAATAATATGCATGAGTCCTAAGAAGCTTTCCTCAAAATACACTGTAGAAAGCAAAACAATGATCCCAATATTGGAGGCATGTAACAGAACATTCAAGCAAATACAGTGGTAGTACAGCAGACAGTGATTCTGATGTATTACTATCCCAGTATGGTGCAAGGCAATGCTATATACTTAGAGCATAAAACAGTCCTATACTTCGGGCTATGCCTAGAATTACAAACGCTTCCTCTGACCCTTTCCATACTGTGAGTTTACCAAAAGCCTCTGGAAGACCAAGATCACCCTTAAAGGTAAAAAGTAATGAAGCCTATATTACATAGGAGGGGTCATAACACCAAACTTATTTTTTGAAATGCTAAGTGGAAGTACTCTAACTGGACTAAAGTAGACTACCAGTCTTTTTCAGTTTCTTTGTTGAAAACTTAGGTCAATTATATCTCAGTTAAAAAAAAAAAAAACAAACTTTACCATGCAACCACAGAAGATATCAAATTCATCGAACACAGTCAAGTAAATGCAAGTGTCCTTTAGAGAGAGAAAGTAAGTCTTGTCTTGGGCTTTTCTTTCCTCAGATCTCCCTTTCCAAACTTGTTCAAATGTCCTGTTCAACTTATTGCAATGTTTAACCCATAAAAGTTAAAATAAAAAATATTTAATAGAAAAAGTGTTTTGAGGTTTTAACTTTTGAGGTATAAGGAAGGAACTTTTTCTTTAAAATAGTCTCATGCCCAAATGAGAAAACCAGAATGTGGCAGTCAAAATTGAGTAGTGAATCAAGTTGTCAGTTACATGACAAGTCCAACATCTAACTCTCAATTCTTAATTAGGTTTGAGCCATTCTAAACTTAGGGAATTGAAACAAAATACCTGATAATTAATTACAATGCCTCCAATTACAAAGGAATTGAGGCTCCATTTTGAATTAGTTTTTGCCTGTATTTTCTTGCTCACCTCTGCCATTCAACATACACACACACACTCTCTCTCTCTCACACACACGCTTCTAAAATTATATCAAGAATGATCTAAGTGATATTTACATAGCAGATAACATATATAAA